TAAACTTCATGGATTAGGTAGTTGATCTATAATTCAATTTTTAATGCATGACAGACTGGCAAGCATCTAGGTAAATGTGACTCTGTGCTTTGAAGTATTCTTGTTCCCTAATTATTATTTTGATACATTCAAGACTTCTCAAATTGTTTGGATAAAGATGTCACAAAGATTTGTTTCTTTATAACTGGTTTTATGATCCATATCCACATCACTGTGTTTATGAGCCTTTATATTAATATTTTATTTTTTTACAATATTGATTCAAGATGGGGATTTATTTCATGTTATAGACTCACTAATAGGGGTACAGGTAGATTTTTCTTGATAAGAGATCCACCTGTATAATGAAGAAGTATATGTTAAAATAATACATTGCAAATTGATCTCTTCAATCTTTATTTTTACTATAGGAAATGAGAATATGTATTTATATTTCCAAATGTAGTAATTTATGAGATGAATATAGTTTTGTTGAACAGTTTCCATCATATTCTGATGTTTTTTACAGCAACTTTGAATAATGCTAGAAGCTGGCAATTAATAAAATTGTGATAATATTGGACTTGTTCTTATTGTGTAACAAGATATAACAAACACCTGGAATAATCAAATAAGGCTTTTAAGACACGTTTTATTTCTTTCAACCCAAATTAAAAAGCAGAATAGGGATCCTGCCAGTACTGTCCTATTCTTTTTTTTTTTTTTTTTTTCCAAAAAAGAGGTGTTTATTGAAAACAAAACACACAGATTTATACAAGACAGAATAAAATTTCAAACGGGTTGAACATAGGGCATTTGGCAAAGCACATATCATACAGAAGAGCATGAAATCCAATGCAAAAAAATTAACAAATTGAATGAGTAAAACCACGACAAGGTTGTGCTTGCAATATTCCAGTGTGCTTGTCAAATGATTAGAGCAAGGAGGTACCAGGCGTTCTACATTAATGTCTCAAAGTGTGGTGCTATGGAGGAAAGGAGGGTGCATACAATATCTAAGCAGAAGTCCAAACTACGGGTTGAGATAGTGTAGATGGCGGAGAGCATATATGGGAGTAAATTGTCATGGAAATCGCTAATGGGAGAGTGAATAAGATGTTGACATCATGCCTAATGCTCTGCGGGATAATTATCTGGAGCTTGTATAAGCATATGAGAGGAGAAAAAAAAAAGGAAGGAGAGAAGCGCGAAGGAAGGAAAGAAAAAGAAAAGGAGAGAAGAGAGAGAGAAAAAAAAAAAAAAGGGGGGGGGAAACACGTGGGTAGAAGGGAGTGAGGGAAGGGGTGACTGCAAAAATTATTTGATCATCAATACGGGTCAGAGCACACGGGTAGAGGGCTAAATTAACATTAGTGTCAAATAAATGTGGGATGAACACGGAGAGTACTGTCCTATTCTACATTATTATCATAGTTATGATTCTACTATGCCCTAATGTGCTTCCCTGCTATGATATCATATTATCATAGCAGGGCAGCATAGTGGCCTAGTGGTTAGCATTTTTGCCTTGCAGCACTAGGGTCCTGTTTGGATCTCAACTAGGACACTACCTACATGGAATTTCCACATTCTCCCTGTGCTTGCAATGGTTTCCTCCCACACTTCAGATACATGCTGTAAGATTAATTGGTTCCTGCCTAAGTTACTCCTAGTATGCAAGTTAGGTAAAAACCTTAGATTTTAAGCTCCTTGAGAACAGGGACTGAATGTGCATAGTGTGAAGTACTGATGTGATATATAAATACCTGCAATAAAATATGATAATATATATTGTCCAGGAAAAGCTGTGAAAATGGTTCTCTATAAGCATAACAGTTGTTTACCCATGCTACTAATGGTATATATATATATATATATATATATATATATATATATATACACAGTATATTATAATACATCTCGAGAACATTGACTTTTGAGAGTTTAATTGCTGTATACAGTTATACCAAAGGACTCAGTTATAATTTAGGTAGAGCTGTCTGCTCTCCTTTATACTCTGTTTTACTACATACACTATGCCCCATCCCATTCATGAATTTAAAACCATAGTGTGTCGTAGCGAGTACCACAGAGTTCTTCCTTAACCAGAGAAAGGTCCAGGATCAAAGGAGAGCTGGTCATATGACTTTTTTTTTTATCTACATAACCTAAATTCAGTTTTATTGCTTTCTTTTGGATTCAGGGTCATGAAGATTGTGGAAATCATGGGTTGCAGGAAAGAAAATCGCTTGATTTTGACAGTGTTGATGGGGAATCCCTCCCATGGAGTTATTGTGTTTATGCCAGTGGCAATACACACATGTAAATATCTGACATGCTGGTTGTATCCAAGTCGATCAATGGACTGACTTGCGGTCAGTCATCCTGCCCATAGATGGTTCGAATTTTAGCTGGACCCTGCTGAACCAGCCGAGATTCAAACCGCCTATGGCCGGCTTAAGTCCCACATGTAAAGAATAGATTTACACACATTTATTGCCCATATGATGATTCTAGTAATTTATCTTTACCCTTAAAGATCTCATCTTTATCTTTACCCTTAAAGATCTGCTGACCCTCTATTATGAGGACTAGATACAGTGGGGATCGAAAGTTTGGGCACCCCAGCTAAAAATGTATATTAATGTGCATAAAGAAGCCAAGGAAAGATGGAAAAATCTCCAAAAGGCATCAAATTACAGATTAGACATTCTTATAATATGTCAACAAAAGTTAGATTTTATTTCCATCATTTACACTTTCAAAATAACAGAAAACAAAAAAATGAAGGCCATGGCAAAACCTTCAGTTTACGCCTCTTGATGTAATCCCCCGTGGATTTTGAGGTGTGTTTAGGATCATTATCCATTTGTAGAAAGCCATCCTCTCTTTTACTTCAGCTTTTTCACAGATGGCACCAAGTTACCATCCAAATTTTGCTGAAATTTTATTTGAATCCATTTTTCCTTCTACTCGTGAGATGTTCCCTGTGCCACTGGCTACAAACACAACCCCAAAGCATGATTGATCAACCCCATGCTTAACAGTTGGACAGAGGTTCTTTTCATTAAATTCTGTGCCCCTTCTTCTCCAAACGTACCTTTGCTCATTCCGGCCAAAAAAGTTCAATTGTAACCTCATCGGTCCACACAGAACTTGTTTCCAAAATACATCAGGCTTGTCTATATGTTTCATTTGCAAAGTTCAAACACCAAACATGATTTTTGTGGTGAGGACGTACGAAGAGGTTTTCATTCTGATGACTCTTCCATGAAGACCATATTTGTAACAAGTATCTCTTTATAGTGGAATAGTGTACCACAACTCAGTGTCTGCCAGATCTTTCTGGAGGGATCGTGCAGTCAAACGTGGGTTTTGAAATTGTTTTTCTCACAATCCTGAGAGCTGTTCTGTCTGATATTTTTCTTGGTCTTCCAGATCTTGCTTTAACTTCCACTGTTCCTGATGACTGCCATTTCTTAATTACATTCTGAACAGAGGATATTGACATCTGAAAACGCTTTTGCTATCGTCTTATAGCCTTCTCCAGCTTTGAGTGAGCGTCAACTATTTCAGTTTCAGTTTTTCTAGACAACTGCTTAGAAGAACCCATGGTGCTGATTGTTGGGGCAAGGTCAGATGATGAGTCTGGGCATTTAAAACCTTTGAGATTGACATCACTTGGTCTTCCAGACGATGATTGAGAACAATCCATGACACACTGGCGGGTCTCAGCTTGGCAAAGGGGGCAGTGCATGCCATAATTCTGCAGGGTGCCCAAACTTTTGCAGACGCCATTTTTTTTTGTTTTCTGTTATTTTGAAAGTGTAAATGATGGAAATAAAATCTAACTTTTTGTTGACATATTATAAGAATGTCCAATCTGTAATTTGATGCCTTTTGGAGATTTTTTCCATCTTTTCCTTGGCTTCTTTATGCACATTAATACAAATTTTATTAGCTGGGGTGCCCAAACTTTCGATCCCCACTGTATATCACATGGGTCACCTTGAACATGCTGTCCTTTGTATTTTCTACAAAAGTAGGAACAACAAGCAAATTTAAGTCCTCATGCACACTAGGCGTTTTAAAAAGGCCGGTAGTGTTAGCTGTAAAAAATTACTTTGTAAAACACAAGTTTTTCCCACACTTTTTGCGTTTTTGCATTAGCGTTTTTACGTGTATGCGGTTTTTAGTGTTTTTTACACAAAAAAAAGTTTTTGCTCAAAAAACATCCCCATAAAACACCTGTTTGCCGGGTTTTACCGCGTTGCCCAATGTTAGAGAATTTTTACAGCTAAAAGACACTCTTCTAGAAAACCCATTAGGTCTTGTTTTTTTTTTCCAGCCAAAAAAAAAAAAACGCCCCTGCCAAAAAATGCTGATTAAAGCCTATGTGTGCATGGACACATAGGATTAACATGCTGGAAGTTAGTGGCTGTAGAAAAAAAATGCCACAAAAGCCAAAACCAGCAGAGCTGTAAAAGCATCCATTGTGCATGAGAACTAACTCTCTTCCTCCTCTCACCTCTGGTTGTGGCCTCAAAATTAACTTGTCATGTGACCTCCATTGCCTCCGTATAGAACCTGATCCTAGAATTGAATTACACTCAAAGTAGCTCAGTATTTTTACAACTTTGACTGAAGAGTCTGGCTCAAGAACTGTCCTAACAGGGGGTTTTCAGTAGGGATGATGTAATAAAGGAGCAGAGAATTCACTCATGCACAGTTTTTTGCACAGTTATCCAGTCATATTTTTTCTCTATATTTACAGTATTTGCTGAACTAAATTGACATTAGGTTTGCAATGTGAACTTTCAGTTTTGCTTAACTGCCTCCCGCCCGCCACATAGTACAATGATGGGTGCAAGGCAGTTCTCTCGTTCTGGGAGGATGTCATATGACATCCTCCCATTCTAACCGCGCATGTGCGGCTCTGGGAGTGCGCAGCGCGGCGATCATCTACCACCTCGGACACAGCGGATCACCGATCGAGGGAAAGAGCCGAAGATGGCGGCAAGTCAATGGTCATGTGATCAGCTGTGTCCAATCACAGCCGATTGCATGTAAATAGGGAAAATGCCGTTTATCGGCATTTCTCTCTCTCGCGAGCTGTCACGCTGACAGCTCGAGAAGAGTGGAGAGCCGGTAATCGGCATTCCTCGGAGGGGACATGTACACTGCTTATCAGGGCACTGATGATCAGTGTGCCCTGATGATCTGTGTAGCCCCAGCAGTGCCACCTGTCAGTGTCCATCAGTGCCAGCTGTCAGTGCTCATCCATGCCACCTGCCAGTGCCCATCAGTGCCACATCAAGTGCCCCAGATCAGTGCCTACCAGTGCACATCAATGCCACATTCCTTTCAGTGCTGCCAGTCAGTGCCACCTATCAGTGCCACCTATCAGTGCCAGTCAGTGCCGCCTATCATGTGTGCATCAGTGCTGCCTATCAGTGCCTGTCAGTGCTGCCTATCAGTGCTGCCTAACAGTGCCAGTCAGTGCCACCTATCAGTGCCATATATGAGTGCTGCCTTTCAGTGCCCTCCCATCCCGTGATGCCTGTCAATGCCCATCAGTGCCACCTACAAGTGGCCTCCTCATCAGTGCCACCTATCAGTGTCCATTCAGTGCAGCCACATCAGTGCCCATCATTTCAGCCTCATTAGCGCACATCAGTGAAGGAGAAAAATTACTTATTTACAACATTTTTATAACAAAAACTAAGAAAAAAAAACTTTTTTTTTTCAAAATTTTCAGTGGTTTTGGTTTTTTAAGAAAAAATAAAAAACCCAGAGGTGATTAAATACCACCAAAATAAAGCTCTATCTGTCACAAAGAAATTATAAAAATTTCATATGGGTACAATGTTGCATGACTGCGCAATTGTTATTCAAAGTTTGACAGCGCTGAAAGCTGAAAATTGGCCTGGGCAGGAAGGGGGTGTAAGTGCCCTGTAGTCTAGTGGTTGAAGCAGAATTAAACCCAAAAGCAAACATTTATTATTTTGCAACTTACCAGTCTTAGATGCAATCTTTGCATTAGTTTTATATTTTTTAGGCTTTCTTTCTTCTATTTTTTACAAAAGAACAAATTCTTATCCAGATGTTCCAGTTTACAGTTATGAGACAAACCATTTAACAGCTTTTTCACTACTTGGTTATATCCAACCTTGACTACTGCAACTCCCTCCTCACTGGCCTACCTTAACAGGCTATTTATTTATTTATTTATTTATTACAGGTACTTATATAACCCTGTTAATTTATGCAGCGCTTTACATGTATATATTGTACATTCACATCAGTTCCTAACCCTCAAGGAGCGCACAATCTAAGGTCTCTAACTTACATTTATACATAAACATACTAGGGCCAATTTTAGATAGAAACCATATAACCTACCAGCATGTCTTTGGAGTGTGGGAGGAAACTGGAGTACTGGAAGAAGTCCAGGCAGGTGGTGCCATGGTTGGGATTTGGACCAACAACCCTGGTACTGCTAGGCGGAAATGCTAACCATTTAGCCACTGTGCTATCCCCTTTTGGTATAATGTTAATTGGTACAGCTGCATATTTTAAAAGGTTGACACCTAAGCCAGAGAGGCCATAGAAGATCTCCAATACCTTGATAAGGTCATCCTAGGTGTAGCCACTGATATTCAAGTTATGGTTAATAAGGTAAAGATTAAATGGCAAGCACGAAGAGTTGAGGTGAAAGGGGCCATCTCTGACTCGTATAGTGCCCCAAGGAGGAAATCTGAATTAAAACCCAAATGTTTCACCCTGGTACTTGGGGCATGATACTGAGTCTCTTTGAAGCCAAATTTAGTTAAGAGTCTATTGATATAAGACCATGTAAAACTGTCAAATGCCTTATGTATATCAAGGCTTAACAAAGCACTGAACAAGAATGGGTAGATGTGTCTTAAATAACATTAGGGACTAGATGAACATTATGTGTGATCTGTCTGGAGGGTATAAAACCCATTTGGTCGGGGGAAATTAAAGAGGTGATGACTAATGTAAATCTTTTTACTAAAAGTCTTCCAAACATTTTGAGTTCATTATTTATAACCCAAATCAGGGAGTAGTTTTGAGGAAGAGTATGATCCTTATTGGATTTGGGGATTAAGGACTAATAGGCTAATAACATATCATGAAGAAATGTAATTTTACATGCTTTGTACATATATCTGGCACACAGTTGTAATAATTAATTAGTAATTTAATGATACAACAATGTAAAATAATGAAGTATTGGTTTGTTTAATGTGTAATATACAGTAAAGTATTTTATACTGTAAACTTAAAACTGTTCCAAATATTCTTAACAAATTATTCTCTCCTATTTATCCAAAATCCAGAACCTAAAATGTGTGTAGGTTTTGTTACATATGCTAGCACTGTATAGTGTTAAAAAACAAGGCATATGCCTGTATTTTATATATCTACAAACTGGGTCATTTCCAGTGCAATGGTTATAACTTACTGACTGGCCTGTGAACAATATAAAGTACAGAAGTAAATATTTTGGATTGATTTAAATTAAGGAAAAGAGACAAAAACAAATGTAAAACAACAATGACAAATAATTGTCTGTGTTGCAAAATAATGAATAACAAATATACCTAAAATTGTTACACAAGCAACACACTAAAAACTGAGTTACATGCCAGGAATTGAGATATTAAACTAAAATACCAGTCTTACTTATAATTATTCTTCTACATCTGGCACACGCATAGGGATGGCATAATGTATATTTGGGGTTTATGTATGTATGTGTGTACTGACAGTGTGTTGTGTGTATATGTGTGGGATGTGTGTCCTTTTCCTAACTAGTCACAAAGGTGGTATAAAAAACACTCACTTTGCCCATTTGATGCAGTTGCCTGGTTCTCTTCTCCACTGCACAGCTGCTAGCACTTCTAGCAAGTTTTTGTAAGGAGCTCCAACATCAAAACTAACCAGGATACATTTCTACTGATCAGTGCACCATTGCCATTTAGCAGACAGATCTTATTAATGAGCAGACACCTTTAATTTACAAATTGATGGCCTTCTTGGCTTCAAGGTTATCTAGCTCTGTTTGGGCCCATTACATAGATTACCAGGGAATCTTCTCTAAGCATAATGTGGATCAGTTACTAGTGCATTATTTTTATGTTTGCAGCATCAACATAATTCTTGGCTCTACTCCCTTAGAGAACACATATATCTGATCAGTTTCCCAGAGGCTGGGACCATATCAACTTACATCTATGTGGAGTCCAAATATTCACTAATGCATATGGTTTTTAATCACTCAACACCAGGTGACTTACCCATATGTCACCCAACTTTGAGTGGTTATACTGGGATGATCATTATCATTCCAGTATCTTTTTTACAGCCGGAGGAAACACTTTCTTGTAAAAACAATCCTAGCAGCTAAAATGCTGCTGGATTGCTTTTACAATCAGTGGGAGGGGGTCTTCTGCCTCCTTCCCGAGCTCTCCCATCCAATCAGGTAAACCTGGGACTGTAGCCAGCAGTTCCGCCAGCTGACCATAGAGCTGACGGGGTGTCAGGAATGGTCTTATCTCTGGTAGTGCTGGGCTTACCTGCCTTGTGGGCTGCAGTACCAGTGCTGGCCGGCGGGTGCTCTCAGCAGCCAGTGTCTCACTCCTGCAATCAGGCCATCACCTGAGGCTGATTGCAGGAGGTGTATTAAAGCAGGACCAGGCCTGCAGTCAGTGCCTTGGTGTATTGCTCCCCTTGTGCCCTGTATCCTGCCTCCTGCCTGCTTGACGCTTCTGCTGGACTCTGACACTGCTTGAACTCTGCCTGTACCGACCCCAGCTATTCCTGACCACTCTTCTGCCTGCTCATTTGTGTACCTTGTCTGCCCGTTAGCTACCGACCCGGCCTGCCTGACTACGTTTGTGCTCCATACATATTTATATCAGTTAAGGTTTGGAATTTGTTTGCACTCCGTTGTACATATTTATATTAGTTTAGGTTTGGTTTGTTTGCACTGCGTTTGTGTATTGTATAGCCTTTAATAAATTATATTGTTTACACCTTACTTGAAGCCTGCGTTTCCCTGTGTCAGTCCACACATCTCTGGTCATACCCGGATCCCTGACACGGGGACCAGAATGGCCCCAATCATCTCTATGGTCTACGAAGCCAATGAGTATTTAGTCACTTCCGGTTTCACCGGTTGTAAACAAACCATTATTGGTTTGAAAAAAGCATTGGATCATACTGATCTTGGTAGGATCTGAAGCTTTTAAGGGTAGAGGAGACAGATGCATCTGGGGTCTAATAGACCCCAGATGTATCAGTAAAGATGATCTGTCACTGCCTTTCGTTATCACAAGAGATGTTTACAAGTGAAAGAAAAATGTAAAAGGTACAATGTAAAAATAATTTTAAAAACATTTAAAGCATCTCATCCCCCCGCACACTTCAGCCCCTAGTTGGTATGTAAACAATGATAGCCCCCACAAGCGAGGTCTCAGCGTGAATGTCAGATCAAGAGCAATAATTCAAGCACCATATTTCCTATGTAAATTTCAAGTGGTAACCTGTAAAGGCTTTTAAAGTGTCACCTTTGAATAATATAATTTATAGCAGTTTGTAACTGCTCCAAGGAAAGCTCGCAATTTTAAAGCATGACATGTTTGGTATCTATTTACTCAGCATAACATCATATTGTATATCTTACCAAACAATCAGGTATTATATTGTGTTTTTGTGCATTAAAATTCATTCAAGTGTATTTTTAAAAAATGCTTTACAAAATACCATATTACGCAGATCGGCTCCCAGGACCGGTGTTATTCATTTATAAGCATTTTTATGAATAATGACATGTGAGTGGATATATTATCTTTTTTAATAAACATGCATCGATGGTTTTACACTATGTATGTTTCCTCACTCCTTTTTCATGCCACGAATGACATCAAGCGCTATTGGATGTAGCATTCTATTGATTTTGAGGAGAGATGAGGAGCGGATTTCAAACGTGATATTCATTCCTGATGGCTATGCATGGAGATGCTGAGGAGTTACAAGATCCATTACAGATGATTTAAACATATGCCATTCTGATTCCTTTCTGTCCAAAAAAAGAGTCCACTTGCTCTTGTAAGATTCCTTGAAATGTATGTTGACAATATCGTGTCATCTACAGGATTGAGTTCAGGTCACTTTATTTAATTTGATTTAGCTCAGCAATTTAGTTAAACCAAGTTCTTCTTTACTCTTAGTACCAAAACGCAATTACTGATCTTTCAACACAGTTAAAACTTTCCATGTCTTGAAGTGAGCCTTCTTTTTTGGTGACATACTTTTTCAGACCCAAGACTTCTTCTTTAAAAAATTCTTGTAGCAGAGAGGAACTAATTCATTGGAGACTGAGAACTGCTTGACGTCAAACTGGCCTGTAAGTAGTGCCAATACTCCTTGGAAAGA